TCTTAAGAAATCCACTTCTCAATTCTGCCAGCCCCATTCGTTGTGTAGCGTTCAGTTCTGTTTGAATTCAGTTCGTGAAAATCTTGTGGGTGACTTTTAACAAACTGCTCGGTCTGTAGTTCCATAAATCTTTTCCGTCTTTTCCCATGTGTAGTAAAGCTGTCGATGCAGCAGACAAATAACCTAAAAAAGGCGCTAAAATCTTAAACAGTGCTTCACCTACTGATTCCACAAGTTCCACTGTAAGGCACTTTTCGTTCCAGGAGCCGAATGTGGCATTTCTTGTGGCAGATTCATTACTGCCTAGGCTGTCGTTGTTTTCATCGTTTCTACAGGCTTCTATGGATACTTTCCACCCTGTTTAACAAGTGCCATAATGAATTCCCAAAAACGGCTATAGAAGTCAGTTTCATTTGTACCTGGTAGCAAGCGAGAATTTATTTTTGTTATAAGTTATGAAAAGGTAAGAACTAAGCAACTACCAAAAAAATTTTTCAAATAGCGACAAGTAACCAGTCAGGTTGAACGTTTCAACTTTACATACGAAAAGAAAGCTGTTGAAAATGGTTCAGTACGATAACAATGGCAAGCTACTCATACATTATGTCCCAACCTAATGACCAACCCGTCAAAAGCATGCTTGCATAATGGATTCGTTGTAAACAATGTGAACAATGACAAACATGTTCTAAAAATCCATCATAACAACTGAAAACACCAGCAACATGCTTTGAAGAATTCGCCTAAAAGAGCCGTTGCAGCGACTGACCGGCTACCGACTCCGTCGAAGAGGGCAGTACCGCAGAGTTACACGATTATCCCTCAACCTCTACAGAATGAAACGTATCGATGTGCGATTGGAGACTTGTGACGACCACTTACATAAGTAAATGCAGAACGATTTCGCAGCACCCGCCAACGCATTCCGAAGTTCTCATCGGAAACATATACATGAGCCACCCTGCAATGCTATGACCAATGGTTGCACTAGGGTGCAACTTCTTTGACACAGGGTGTCTGCACAGGTCATCTGTTGCACAACCAAATGCTTGTGTTCATGGGTAATGTCAATCTACACGACCCACCCCTAAACAGTGTGAACGAATGTTGGCCTGTTTGACCTCGTCTGGTTTGTGGCAAAGCTTATTTCGTTATTAAAGAATTTACACTTATGTCGCTCATCGTTTTTGTTACAGGTGCAGAGGTCATCAGAGACTGTCAAAATTGGCCAAATGCTCTCTATAATGGAAATCACAAACTGGGACGTTTTCCATGACGATCGTGTAAGCAATAATACACACGCCGTAATGACGTACATCAACTTTATCTTCGACATTTACTGCCCCCGGCAGAAAAAATTAAACCATTAACGTTGGCTGTCGATCGTACAATGTTAAACCGCTGATTCGGCAAAGAACAAAGAGCACTGGACCGGA